AAATGTAAATATATAAGCGAAAATTAGAAATTATTAAAATATGAGTAAATGATTTTAACTATAAGGAAATTCAACAAAATTGAAAAAAAAATTATTAATTGTAAAAAATAAAATTTAATTTAATATTTAATGTTAAATATTTAAAGACAAAATTATATATTATTGAGTAAACTGAAAATTAGTTGCGTTATTTGTAAATCGAGTGATTAGCAAAAAGAAGTCTATAATATATATAAGATCTATATATATTATATTCAATTGTATTTTAGCTATAAGTATTAGTATTTTATTTATAAAACAAAATTTAGAACAACTTAAAACAAAGTTTTATAATTTAATTGTAAGTAAAAATATTAAAAACAAAAAAAAAAACAAGAAAAAGAGAATATATAAAAAATTTAAGCAAATAAAAGAAAGATTTGTTTTTAAAATTTAAATCAAACATTTTTTCATTTTTATGATCACATTAAGTCAATGAGTGCAGGAGCGTAAACAGAGACTCAAATCAGGGAGCCCTTTTGAAAACTAATTCAAAGTTCATACCGAAACATTAAATTTAAATAAATCAGTTATATGTGGTTCGACATATTATAAGAGGTTATTAAAGGTTCTGGATGGTTTTAGCCCATGGGTTCTAAATAATACGGTATCACAATGGGCCTATAGGCCTAAGTGGATCCCCCTGGGATCGCCGGTATAATCTAACCTAACCTAACCTAACCTATTATAAGAGGTTTGAACCTTACAACTCCGTTTTTTAAGCCAATTTACAGAGTAATACAAAATTAGTTAACTGCACCGAATAAAATTATTCCTTAAACTTAGGTTTCGTTTAATTAATATATATTTTTCGTCTTTCATAATACTTTACTATATATAATTCTTTATTAATAAGAATGGTTTTTGTAGTACTCTGGAGAAATCAACCTTAGATCTTCATTTTTGCTATATCAGTATGTTCTGTTCCTAATTACAAATTTTCTATTTACGAAGAATGAATGATTAGTTTTTGGATCAACCTAGATTGCTTCACAAAATTTGGAGAATAAAAAATTTTTCTCCTTTTATTCTAAACTATTAAAAATATATATTTCGTAGGTTAAACCTCTTAATGGGATACTTATACTATTCATAGAACACATCAAATGTAAGAAAAGGAGTAGATAAAATTAATTTGTTTATATGGTACTATATATGTGGTATATTTACAATATATAAAACAGCGTTTAAACATATTACTGCACATTTTAATTCTTGTTAGCATTTTTTTCTTTAACTTGAGTCGAAGCACCTATAATATCTCTTTAGCAAAAATGGTTTTTAGATAGTTCATCAAAGTTTGATGAACGTTATTGTGATTTCCTTGGCATATCGAATTGACAATAATATTCAGTATTTTTTAATATTTTGAGCAACTTTTTCTATCACGGTATTATTCGGATATAGCTTACTTTTCCAGTTTTCGAAGCTTAATATTATAAACTTTACACTTAGAATAAACTGCATATACCATCTATCGCCAACTAGTGTAAGTAATTTTTATATTGTTTACAAAAGCGACATAGAAAAAAAATTGTCTACTATAGCTGATTCTTCTAAAATCGGTAGTCAAACAAGCATGCCTAGGATATCAAAATCGTGCTTCTAGATATTTTAAAGCACTTCCGTTTTACAAATAATTGAGTTTAGATACCGCCCAGCGTTTTTACGATGATAGAAATGTGTGTGTGTGTGTGGGATTCGTATTGCTTCTACTATATGTATAGCGCTACGTTTTTATAATGTTTGGCAATAATTGGTTCGATATATACATTGCTATATCAGGCATTGATTGCTATATCAAATATTAAATTTGATATCTTAAAATCTTGCTTATTTATTTAACTACCAGTTCTATGTGTTCATTGTCCGTTTAGAAAGAATTTTGACTACATAGTAAAACTTTCGGGGATTTTGACGTTTTTAGTCTGACTTTATTGTTTTAGAGTAGATGGGTTATTCATTTACTTTCTGTAAGCTTTAAAACTAAAAGGTGATTTATAATCTGCTGATGTCATGGTCTATAGTAAATCAACAGATCTGCTTTTACTTTTAATAACTACCATTAAATCTATTTAGTTTTTTTCTGCACTTTTTCTTCACGGCAAGTCCTTTTAATTACTTCATTTGTTATTAAATATTATATATCACAAGTAGACTAGATGAGAATATATTATATTAAATGCGGTTATTTTTGTTTTTTAAAAATATACTAACTTTTATTTCGAAAGTTTTTTTGTGTATCTCTACACGTGTTTCGGCATTCTCCTAATATATTAGGAATTCTCCTGATGAAGGCAAAAGCGAATTTGCCGAAACACGTGTAGAGATACACAAAAAAACTTTCGAAATAAAAGTTAGTATATTTTTAAAAAACAAAAATAACCGCATTTAAACATTTTCGAAGTAACGACTCAAAAATTAAAACAAAAATAAATATATTATATTGTTAGAGGGACTTTATTGTTAAGCATCGACAGCAATCTTTGTAGAAAATCAACTGTCGTATTGGATCAATTTATATTCGTCTTGAAATGATTTAAACTAAAACAATATACAATAAATTACTTTCAATTTACTGCATTTTTAATAATAACAGACTTAGTGATTCATTAAATGCCGCGTGTTCTGATAGTTAATAAATAATACTTAAACTAAAAGGTACTTTTCAACGGAAGTTTAAAAAAGTTCCTTCTTTTTTAATTTTAACATTCAAATATTTCCGATTTGAAGAGGATCTTATAATTTGTTCTAACTGTTTTTTTTGGTAAGTAACGGGTATGTGCTTTTAACAAAAGATGGGAAGACTCATCGATAAGTAGACATCTGTATGCAATCTGGACACTTTTCAATAAAATGAAATCGAAAACTCTAATTGAGATGTCCCGCAAAGACATTGGTCTTCTGGGAGGGTTGACTACAGCACACTGTAAACTAGGGAGCCATGCTAGAAGACTAGGTCTTCTTTTCAATCAAATCTGTCGAAGCTGTGGGGAGGACGATGAGAGTGCGCTCTCATCTTTTGTGTTTTTGCCCAGCTCATGTACGTCGGCGACTTAGCACTTTAGGAGCCCCCTTCCTTGAGAACCTGGACCAGTTACAGGATCTGACTTTAAATAGCATTCTATGCTTCGCAAAAGATTCTAGGTGGTTTTAAACCCTGAGGTTACATTATTTATATACGGCATCACAATGGGCCAATAGGCCTAAGTGGATCCACTGGGGATCACCGGTATAACCTAACGGGTATGTAACTCAATGTTCTCTGTTAAATTGAATATATTTAATTAGAATAGAGTAATTTCGAATGTAGTCGAATGTCAACATCACGGAAGCCAGAGATTGTTGAAAAGTGGGTAAAATATTAAATAGAAATCAATTAGGTGGTCAAGTTGCTAGTTTGAATCCTAAAAAAGTTCCGTTAGGGTATTTTTTACCTTTCCATGAAGACTATGTTATTAAAATTTTTATTTCAACTCTCAGATTTAATTTTGTGTTATATATTTCTACGCTTTAGGAAAAACTTGACTTAAGAAAAATCATTCCTCCAATCATTCCAATCATTCATACCATAATCTTAGAACAATTCTAATATAGATTATTTATAATTCCGTAAATTTGTAGACAAAAATTTTCTGGATAGAAAGGCTGTCAAAGAAATGCTATAATTTCAATTTAATTATATTTTGATCAAAGGTCAGTTTTTTTGTTTAAACAAATTTTCCAAGAAACGAATAATTTAAAAGTCTAATTAAGTTTTAATTATTATATGATAGTAGTACTAACTTTGTCTAACATTATCTTAAACTCAAAAGAGATGCTGATCAAACTCAAGATGCATAAACTCATTAGTCCAGACAATAGTCAAGTATTCCAAGTTCCACTGTTTATGTTGGAACATATAACATATAACAAAAATTTAGTAATTCTAGTTCGTCTCCTGATTGTCGCAGACGAAGCTGCCCTTAGTACTTTAATTATATACTTATAGTTTTTGAATGTTTGTGTTCTTCATCTGATCCTTAGTTAGAAATAATGTTTGCTGTAACGTAATGTAATCGTACTTATATTATTAAAAATAGATAACTTGAATTTTTATAAACGGGCTAATGAGAAAAAAATGAATGTATATTGAAATTAATTACTTATCATTAATTACTTATTTGCTAATACTTTTAAATGAATGGAATATTATATTTCAGAGAGCATACATATGTGAGAGAAGATGAAACGTACTGGCACATAAACCTAAATATTTCTTGAGATATTGTATAAGAGCAGAATTTTCCCTAGTGTCTAAGTATATAATATATTGATTTAGTATAATAATTAGTTTAAGATTATTTATTAGTTAACAATATTAAATAAATAACAAATGGTTAGCACCAAAAAAAGTAAATAAATTAAACATTAACAATGGAATATGTAAAATATCAATTAGGCAGTAATACGACATCAAGTTTTAGTTTTGTACAATAAAGTATTTGAGATTGACATAGTTTAGTGTTAAAATTGCA